TCATTTAAAAATTATATAAAATGACTAATTATCCTTGGCACTGCATTAATGTATTACAAAAACACAATTTTCATTTGGGCTTTGGATAACCATTAATAGAGATCCCCAAGATAATATTCAATACAAGAGATCATAAAAGAGGACATAAGCTGCAAAACAAGTTCAAAATATTGCTAATTTGGATCCATTTTGGAGCATGGGATTGAAATGTAACAAGGAACTAGAAGGAACTGTTCAATGGAGTCAGAAATCTGAAGTTTGTAGTTCCCCTCAAAAAAGATAAGCATAGTTTTAAACCACAAAAAATGCTTTGTGTTTACAATAAATCTTTCAATACCCTGGAAACAGACCTTGTTAAAAACTATTTGGAATAACTCAAGAGTCAAAGGGAGTCACAGAAAATTAATACATCATTTTATGTATTTTATAAACAGAATAGTGGCAGCTTTGATGGCAACTCAGCTGGCGATAACAGCTTTAAAAACAATGGCATAAATATAGGCAATGCACAAATTTCAAACTGCATTAAATAGCAATGAAGATTGGGCTTGTTGATGTCATCCTCTTGCTGCCAAACGCATCTCCAAGCTTCCTTGTATACATGGTTGCATTTCTTTGGCTGTTGAGCAACCAATAGATCCAGTTCATGGTTGTGTACGTGGAGTTCCACAAATTATTTAGGTATTCATAGAATCATAGAGTCATAGAATTATGGAGTTGGAAGAGACCTCATGTGCCATCCAGTCCAACCCCCTGCAAATTATTTGTGAAGAATCACTGAATAAATAGAATTTACCTATATGCAAGATTCACAATTCAACAAGGGAGTCAATGAGTCCAACCAACAAAGTGCATTTGTGCATTCTTGCATGATGTATTACTATTCATCAGCACCTTCAGTGTATCACTGAATTCACGGAGATTGCAAAGATAGCCACTGTGAATTTCCCATTGCATAATGGGACTATAAGTAGACACCTTTTTTAACTGTTTTATATCTGCCAGTATTCAGCGGAAGGGTGCCATGTAACCATGCAAGGATAGATTTATACTACATTGGAAAGATGTAGGTTCCTGGACATTTGGTTTTACACAAAATTCTGCAAATTTCTGTGAACAATTAGTAAAAAATTCATGAAGGGGTGCATGCCCATAAAATGTGATGAGGGAAGTTCAGAAATGTCAAAGAAAGCAAGAAAATAAGCAAGAAAGCAAGCTAGCTTTCAGCGGTTAACAATTTATTTCTACTGAGGATGAAAAAAATGGAAAATATTATTACAATCTACATCATACCTCAAAGGAGTCACTATGTCTAAATAGGCCAGCCACATGTTTTCTTGACCGATGTAAAGGAAAGAGCTCTTTACCCTTTCTCACTGCTTAAATCTTTCCTTGAAATCTAAACCCAACTCATAGTTACTGACAATATAATTAATCTTGATTTTTTTTTAAAAAAAACATCTAATGTAAATGTTAGCAAAGTGTGAAAACCAAATGGTGGTTCTTTCCCCGTCCACATATTAGTTTAAGAATTTAATTTTCTTTCTATTTTTATTAAAGTGCCAAACAAATCAAATTATTTCCAAGGCAACTTAGAATAGACAATTTTTGGACAGTTTTTGTTTTGTACTTTAACTTCTCTGAAGCCAAGTGCAAAGCTTGAAAATGTGTCTGCTTAGAACTACAGCTCCCAAAAACTTGTCAGAAAATGTTTTCATTCCCAAGCAGTGCTACCCTCACTGGGAAACATAAATCCGACACACAGTGTAAGAATAAAATGCTTTTCTTTTTTGCCTTACAGGATACAAGTGATGAAAGTGATGATGTACCTCTCATAATCTATGTAAGTATTGACGTGTGCTTTCAAGTCACTTCAGAATTACGGAGACTTTAAAAAAACTCTTTTTATTTTTTCTTGGCAAGTTTTGTTCAGAGGGATTTTGTCTTTGCCGTCCTTCGAGGCTAAAAAAACATGACTTACCAAAGGTCACCAGTGGCTGAGCAGGGATTCAAACCCTAGGTCCCCAGGGTCATAGTCCCATGCTCAAATCACTATGCCATGCTGGCCATATGTAAGCATTACCAGTAACTTATCTGAAAGCAGGCATCAACGTATGCCGGTTGGAAGCCGCCCTGAGTCCCCCTTCAGGGGTTGAGAAGGGCGGAGTAGAAATACCCGAAATAAATAAATAAATAAATAAGCATTGATGACATGAAAGGCTTATTGATATAAAGATGCAGAGCCTTTATTTTTGCCATGTAAGTGATAATATTAGTTGCATAGATATTCTTTTTTGCATAGCTAAGATGACACTCCAAAATTGTCATCCCAAAGGAGATTATGGCCATGATTGTACATTGAGGTGGGTAAAGTGTGGTGCCTGCTATATGTAGCATATCAGTTATACATTTGTAGATCCTGAAGAACACCCTCAAAATATTGGTACCCTAAAAGGCAATGATCCATTTAAGTTCTCTTTCTGGGTTTTAATTCTTACCAATGTTTCTTCTTTTGTTTTACAGTAAAATGCCACCGTAGTCCAGACACTCTCTAACCATTTTGAATGACCTCTGAAGAAAACTACACTATCATCACTACAGATTTCCCTCCTGTCCCCTTTGCAAATAAATAAACCAATCTTCTCAAACTATAAGCATTCTCTCTCTCTGTTTTGGTCTCTACCAATGTTTTGGCCTCTACAAAACTTGTTTTCTACTGCCCTGGAGACTAGGACGCGGAACAATGACTTCAAACTACAGGAAAGGAGATTCCACCTAAACATGAGGAAAGATTTCCTGACTGTGAGAGCTGTTCAGCAGTGCAACTCTCTGCCCTGAAGTGTGGTGGAGGCTCCTTCTTTGGAGGCTTTTAAACAGAGGCCTGATGACCATCTTTTGGGGGTGCTTTTAATGCATTTTCATGCTTCTTGGCAGAATGGGGTTGGACTGGATGGCTCACAAGGTCTCTTCCAACTCTATGATTCTATGAATGTTTGTTGCTTTAAGGTAGGGTTGGGTCACTGTGCTGCACTTGATGGCCATTTTTTGCCTTCTATAATCTCTTGGTAGCCACAAGAACTTTGAAAAACACATTTTAAAAAGAAAGAAAAAACCCCCAAAATGGCTGGAAATTGATTTGCAGGAAATTGACTCCAAAAACACACTATGGCTTATTTTCAGGGGATGTCTTTTATTATTATTATTATTATTATTATTATTATTATTAAGTATGGTAAATAATCTGCATTTATGGGATGATCCCTCTGAGCTCAGTAGCAGACTTTTTTTTTAAGCTTTCCCCCAATACCCAGGTGTTTGTGTGGGGTGAGAGAGACCCACAGACTGTTGGTTAGTGCTGGGAGGGAGAGACCCACAGTGTTGAGTAAAACGCCACAGCTTTATTTCTTCCCCCTGAGGACACACAATACCTAAAGCAGAGCATCCTGCTCCTCACTTCACTGAGGAAACTTTTCCTGTCACTTTCTATGTCTCCTTCTATGCCTCAGCTTGCAACATGCACAGAACAACTGGGACCTGAAGGGGGAGCTGACCTTGTACGCTGCATAGCCATGCCTATCACTATGTCTTATTTTCAGGGTATGGCTTATATTTCACAAAGGCTTAGAAATTCTGCTACAGCTTATTTTATGGGTAGGTCTTATTTTCAGGGAAACAGGGTACATATGGGTGGGAAGTGGCCAGACTTCATGGAAAGGGTCTCAAAGTATCAGCATTTTCTTATTACTTTGTTGTATGGATGCAGACCTCTGCATATTTCAATATCTGAACTGACATCCCTATTTCAAAAATTCTGTGAGCCTTGCAATATTCAAACATGCAAACAGATATTTATATAATATATACTAATATTGTGTGTGTGTGTGTGTGTGTACACTAGCCATCCCCTGCCACACATTATTGTGGCCCAGTCTGTAATTAGAAAGTATATGTAATTTCTTTATGTTTGTGGGTAACAGTATTTCTTCTTGCTTCTTTAGTCAATGTTGATGTTGAGATTGTCTGATTTGCCTACTCTGGAACATGCAACATATAATTGCCCTTCTTTAGGGATCCCTTTCAAATCTATGATACTATATCTGTCATATACATATATGTGTTTGTGTGTGAATCATATATATCTATCTATATCTATGGCTAGATGGCTCTTTGTCAGGAGGGCTTTGATTATGTTTTCTTTCACTGGTGAAGGGAGTTGGACTGGAGGGCCTTAAGGCAGCATTTCTCAACCTGGGGGTGGGGACCCCTGGGGGGTTATGAGGGGGTGTGAGAAGGGTCACCAAAGATCACCAGAAAACACAGTATTTTCTATTGGTTATGGGGGTTCTGTGTGGGAAGTTTGGTCCAATTCTATTGTTGGTGGGGCCCAGAATGCTCTTCAATTGTAGGTGAACTATAAATCCCAGTAACTACAACTCCCAAAGGTCAAGGTCTATTTCCCCCAAACTCCATCTGTGTTCATATTTGGGCATATAAAGTGTTCACCCAATTTGGTCTAGATCTTTCATTGTTTGAGTCCACAGTGCTCTCTGCATATCGGTGAACTATAACTCCAGAACTCAAGGCCAATGCCTCCCATGACCAACAGTATTTTCTGTTGATCATGGGAGTTCTGTGTGCCAAGTTTGGTTCAATTCCATTATTGGTGGAGTTCAGAATACTCTTTGATTGTAGTTATCCCAGCAACTACAACTCCCAAATGACAAAATCAATCCCCCCAATCCCACCAGTACTCAAATTTGGGCATATTGGGTATTTGTGCCAAATTTGGTCCAGTGATGAAAATACATTCTGCATATTAGACATTTACATTAAGATTCATGACAGTAGCAAAATTATAGTTATGAAATTGCAACAAAAATAAATTTATGGTTGGGGGTCACCACAACATGAGGAAGTGTATTAAGGGGTCGTGGCATTAGGAACTACTGTCTTAGAAACAATATGTAACAACAAGAATATTGCTTTTAAAGGCATTTTTTAATTTTTTATTGTCATCAAGCATTCCTATATCATGATATGTTCTACAAGAGAAGCAAATGGAATCAAATATCAGCACTGCCCACAATAACTATTAAAGCTTACTTATTTCATGAATGTATCATTTGAACAAGGTATCTAATCTAGTTGCCAGGTCTTGATCACAGAGACGCCAGGTGAATGCTGTAAAAGAAAAAAAAAGTGATTAATTGGGAGACACACAAACATATACATTCCAGAGATAGCAAATATGGATGTTCATCTGAAAAAGAGAGTCATGCCCACAGCCATATTGTGAAGGTACAAAGAATCAAGGACATCTTAGGCAATGCTAACCATCACCACCAACATGATTGTTTACTGGCCCATTTGGTCAAGTGAGGAAAAGTCATTGGGAAGCAGATACAGGGATATGAAGGCAGGAGGAGTGCATGTTCCCCATTCATTTTGAACAACTAAGAATTTCCTCTAAACTGGGGAGGAAACCTGTATGTGCCACATGGCTTACCTGATGCCTTCTAAACTAGTTTGCTGCCCTCATAGGTAATGGATAACAGAACCCCCTTTGCAGCTTTGAAGTAAAATACAGCCCATATTTCAATTCATTTTTGGAACATTTTTTTTGTGACGGGAGCGACTTAAGAAACTCCAAGTTGCTTCTGGTGTGAGAGAATTGGCTGTCTGCAAGGACATTGTCCAGGGGACACCAGGGGATGTTTTGATGTTTTATCATTCTTGTGGGAGGCTTCTCTCATGTCCCCACATGGAGCTGACAGAGGGAGCTCAACCCGCTCTTCCTGGATTCAAACTGCTGTTGTCCCAAGATTCCATAGCATTGAGCCATGCCAGTTAAAGTGGTGTCAAACTGCATTAACTCTACAGTGTATTTGCACCATAAGTCCTCCAGTATGACCTGAAGAAGTTGACCATAGAGTCACACTGGAGGACCAAAGGATTGCTGGGGAGAACAATTCAAATCAAATTGGTGAATACTCAAATCTGCAAAAGTCAAAATCACAAATGTGGAGAGACAGCTAAGAAATGTATATCTGAAAAATGGAAGCAATGAGTGCCTTACCAATGATGTGATCCTTATTGCTTACGGTTCAAATATATCTTCCTGATCCTCCTAGAAAGGAAATGAGATTTATGGTAAAATCTGAGATCAGTTAGAATATTCAAATAAAATGTGTTGTCGGAGGCTTTCGTGGCCAGAATCACTGGGTTGCTGTGAGTTTTCCAGGCTGTATGGCCATGTTCCAGAAGCATTCTCTCCTGAAATCATAGAATCATAGAGTTGGATGACACCTTGTGGGCCATCCAGTCCAACCCCATGCCAAGAAGCAGGAAATTGTATTCAGAGCACTCATGACAGGTGGCCATCCAGCCTCTGCTTAAAAGCCTCCAAAGGAGGAGCCTCCACCACACCCTGGGGCAGAGAGTTCCACTGCTGAACAGTTCTCACAGTCAGGAAGTTCTTTCTATTGTTCAGGTGGAAACTCCTTTCCTGTAGTTTGAAGCCATTGTTCCATTTCCTAGTCTCCAGGGCAGGAGAAAGCAAGCTTGCTCCCTTCTACCTATGACTTCCCCCCACATATTTATACATGACCATCCTGTCTCCTCTCAGCCTTCTCTTCTTCAGGCTAAACATGCCCAGTTCTTTAAGCCACTCCTTATAGGGTTAGTTCTCCAGATCATTTTAGTCGCCCTCCTCTAGATTCCAGCTTGTCAACATCTCCTTTCACTTGCAGTGCCCAGAATTGGACACAGATGTGGTCTGACCAAGGCAGAATAAAAATGTAGCATGACTTCCCTGGATCTAGACACTAGACTACTATTTATGCAGGCCAAAATCAAATTGGCTTTTTTAGCTGCATAATGCTTCTAATTCTCTCCTAATGCTTCCTAATGTTTAGGAGAGACTGTTTCTAGAACATGGCCATACAGCTCAGAAAACTCATAGCAACCCATTTAAATAAAATGTTTTAATAAGAGATTTAGAAATACTGTTTGGACATGGCAAGTTATTTCAATGGGAGGGGGTGGCTTCAGTTCACTCTTGCTATATGAATATACTAGCCTTCCCCTGCTACGCGTTGCTGTGGCCCAGTCTGTGTATGTGTGTTTTGTGTGTGTATATATGTGTGAATATGTTTGTGTCTATATGTGTTTGCGTATATATGTGATTTTGCGCAGGCGTTGTAATGTATTTTTCTTCTTTCTTTCTTTTCTTTTCTTTTCTTTCTTTTTTTTCCTTTTTCTTTTTTATTTCTCTTTCTCTTTTTTGGTGTTTTTTTTTTCTTTTTTTTTTTTTCTTTTTGTTTTTTTTTTTTTTTTTATTTTTTTTTTTTTTTTTTTGTTTTTTAAATTCTTTTTTTTTTAAGCTGCAACTCAGTTAGCTGCCATTTTTGCCATAAACATTAAATAATACAACACATACATTGCATGTAATTGATGCGTCTAATTCTCTCCCCTTTTAAGCTTCCTAATGTTTAGGAGAGGATGGAGGAAGGAGGACTTGTTTCTAGAACTTGGTGGCCATACCAAGCTCAGGAAAAAAGAAAAAGGAAGATAAATAACCCAAATAGTCATTTAAAATTCATTTTAAATAAAATGTTTTTTAATAAGGAGATTTTTTTAATAAGAGATTTTTTGAAGATTTAGGAAAATCAGGTTCAAAAGGGAGAGGAAAAAAACGAGGTAGGGTCAGGGGGAGAGGGAGAGAGAGAGGCAGAAAGAAAGAAGGG